CAGGAGGCTGCGCTGCCCGGGCGGCGAAAGCGCGGCTGTGGCGCGGCGCGGGGTGGTCTCCTGCCTTGGTCGTCAGGGCCTGTGCGCTCGGAGTGCAGCTCGGGAAGGGCTGCACCACCACCGGTTTGTCCTGCATTCACAGATCATTCCCAAGTTAAAACCGGGTGATCCAGTAGGAAATATTTCAGTTACTCTTAGGGTTATTGAACCTCTTACGTTTAAACACTTAAAACCTTGATCATTCTTTTGCCACAAGTTGCCACCTCTTCACGTATCAGAGATAGGAGAGAATGAGCTAGTGGGCTGTCTGTCACCTCCGCTGAAGTAGGTTGAATATTTAAAAAGATGAGTAATCATCGTGCTGTTCAGAACCAAAGTGGATGGGGCGGGGGCAGAGGGGGGGGTGATGATGGTAAGGATAAGGTTAGAAGGGTGTTCTCATGGGCAGAACACGAGCCTGGGCACAGGAAGCCTATGCTCTGCTCCTGACTCAGCCTTTAACTCCCTGCTGCTCCGTTTAGCAGCTGCTTCACCTTCTGCACGCTTCCATTCCTTTTCTTTACGACACCAGGGGCAATGTGTGCTACTAATAACTCTGAGCTGTTCCGGGAGAGGTGCTGAGGGCCATCCGAGTATCCAGAGGGATGGGGATGTCATCGTGCACGCACGCACCCCTTGAGCCCTTTGCTTCTGAGCCTAAGGGAGGCTTCAGCTCAAGCTTCATCTGAATACGTGTAGAATCACCGGAGAGGTGAGGGGATAGCAGAGGAGTTTCAGTCCTCACCCTTTCTGTGCACAGCAAGCACAAGCCCATTCCAAGGCTTACCCTCGCAGTTCCGGCACCGGGCTGCAGGGGGACGCCTGCACGCATGTGCTCCTTCATACCGAAATTCGGCATTATTGAAAATCTTTCGGTGGTGGTGCAGCAGCACGATGGATTTGAACAGAGCTAGACTAGAGAGTAGGAAGTGGCTGCGGTCTCCGCAGCTGACTTGCTCGTTCAGAAGATATTTCATCTTCAGCCTTGGGGGAGACGCTGAGGTCATAGCTATAGTGTGCCGTAAAGCAAGAGGGCTGCAGCCCATCGCAGACACTGAGATGCTATTTTCACGTATATTTTACTTAGAATTGGGCTCCATCTAGTGATCTTCTTCTGGAAAAGTCTTTGTGTGCAGGCTCGGTGCTGTTGGTTGAGCAGCCATTTGTACCTCCGGAGCAGGAAAGCAGCACTAAATACTGTACAGCAGAAACATGACGTGCAGAATCGGGTCTCAGCTGGCAGCTCTGTATTTCTGCTCTGTGGAAGCAGCACAGGTGTTCACACCAGCAGGCACGGTGTTACCCCATGCAGTGGGTTTCCACCTGTCATCACTGCATCTATGCTGCTCTTTTCACGAGTGCTACAGGACCCTGAAAGATGACCATTAAATTGGAATAGCTAATGCATACGAGTATTAATGAAAGGAGCTTTCATTTTTATTGGAAACCTTTCTAGCTAATGCCTGGGCTATTTTATCTACAAAATTAGCGATCAGTTTTCAGTCAGGAGTGCCCAGTAGTACTTCATCACTCTGCCTGAACGTTTTGCCCCTCACTGGCATTCCTCCTGCACATGGTAATGCCCTAAGCAGGAGACAGAACAGTGTGCCCGATCTGCCAGTGCCCCAGGCCTCGTGCAGTTGGTTACCTGTGCACAGTCAATATAAATTGCTCCATCCCAACAAATCAGTTGTTTAACCCCAGATTATGCTCTCTAGGGTTCAGTGTTGAAGAATTAGGACATTTCAAAGGCAATAACAAGAAATATTGTTGCGCAATATCGTTGAGCAATAGGCTTTAGTTGTGACAGGTGTCAAACAATGCTCACAATAAATTCAGAAACCTTGAGCCAGTTCCCTTAGGAAAGTTCACCAACGCAACAGCACCATCTACTGATAGACATGTTTGAGAAAACAGGCGGCCAATCCCCCTTCCACTGGGGGTAGGCTACACTGCTTCAGCTGGACAGTTCTGTGATCTTGTAGAGTTGGTGTAAATGAAAAATTACATCCCAAATCATAACTCTTGAGAGAGGTCCGTGTGTCTGGAGACTAGATTTACACTATAAGTTTGCATATGAAATACTGAAAGTTGCCCCTCTGGCTGCTCTGTGGCCATAAGGCCATCTCTGGCCCTTTCCCTGTGCTCTGATATAAGGAACAGCACACCACAGAACAAACATTAACAATAAAATCCCTTGTTTAGATGGTCCATCTTGTTATTTGAGTAGGGCACACCAATTTCTGTAATCAGTGACACACAAGAGGGTGATGAATTTACTGTTGTGGTTTTGATTTCCCAACCTGCTGTGGAGCAATGGGAGGAGGCTCCAGGCTGTGGGTGAGCTGTGCCATGGATACAGGGACATCCCAGTTGGCTCCATGGGAAGTACGACGTGCAGGACAGCAACAGGCTTCATTTCAGGCTACAAAAAAATACCTTGGTGTTACTGCAAGGAACTCACCATATTCGCTGTCCCTAGGCTTGCTGGCATGTGGTGACCTAGAAGATGATTGCAATGTGGCATCTGTTAAGAACTTTTCTGCATGTATCAAATGCAGTGCTTCTGCAAAAATTGTGTTCCTGTGTGGCCACCCCAGGACTGTCAGACAATATTGCCATAGCCATTACTTGCAGGATCTTTTTCAATGAAAGGGAGAGATTAATTTCTTGTGCTCCACTGTAGCATAAAATGAAGCACCATCTTCTTTAGACAGATTGGAAGATGTATGATGCTTTTGATTTATGATACTTCTATGAAACACCTTGTCTTTTTTATTCTCTCAGCTGAAATGGAAATGTCCAACCAGTATCTCTCTGACTCCCTCTGTAAATAAGCTGTGTCCCAGAGCTCCTTCTGTTCTGAGAGCCCCAGACAGCAAACCTCAGTGCCCGAACAGGGATGGAGCCTCCCAAAACCGTCTCAATGAACAAGACAAGGTGTCTGTAATAACGTCTCTGAGTCCAGGATTATAAAAGCAACTGTTCTACCTCTTCTGTATTTCTATCGAAAAATACTTGCTGAGTGTGTGCTAACAGGGAGGAAGCAATCTTGAGGAACTAAGTCAGGTATTGGGACACGCTTTGCAGATTGTGAGACTGGTGCTCTTGAGACTTCCCTTTCCTTTGCTAGCAGCTGGTTCATAGCTAGAATTTGTAATTATTCCTAGAAACCATGTTATAATCCCAGGTCAGAGCAGAGGGTGTTGAGATTAAAAGAGAAGTTGTTCTAGTTTGGTGATCACAAAGCATCAGGTAAACATCATTGCCTATGAAAGAGAGCTATAAACCTGGTTTTGCCTCAGCCACGGAGAGAAAAGAGCTAGGCTGCTTGCTGGTGAGCTTTCCTAGTTGTATGGGTAATAGAAACTATTTTGGTTTCTGGTTTGTTGTTGGGCTTTTCTTTCTAATTTTTTTCCTGACTTACCTCCAGACTTACCTCCAGAGCAGAACTGAAAGACAGGTGAAAAAACATGTGTATAGTCTCTGTTTCAGACCACTACATGGATGACAGACTAAACTAAAAATCCTGCAAGAAGCTTCTTTTCTTCTCCTTCATATCACAGTACTGTTCTGTAGAGCTCTCCTTTCTTTCTTTTAATATCACAGACGCAGTTTCTGAAGAACTTCCTGAGAGATTTAATAAGGTTGTTGCAACCGCCCAATCAGACAAAGCTGTGTCCTCACTTCAACCTGACAATACAGAGGATTTTCTCTTTGGTGACATCGATATAATGCATCCTGGAAAGTGGATCTCTTGTAACACAAAAAAAAACCCAACATAGCTGTTACTCAGAGAAAGCAATGTTTCAGAAAAATAAGTCACTCTATTTTCAGCTGATAGTGGTAATTTCTTTATTGTAACTGATATTGATTTCCACAAGACATTGCTATCAAAGGACTAACCTCTATGCAAATCGGTTTTGTATATAAATAAACTCAGGTAACTAGCATTCGGGTAATATCACTTCTCCAAAATATGCCATCCCTCAAAGAACATTTGATGACATCAGCTTTCTTAGCTCTCCAGATGAAAGCAAACTCAGATGTTCCATTCTTTTTTGTTAAGAAAGAAATGAAGTATTTGAAAGTCTGAAATGTCTTTAATCCCAGATAGTACTGTTATTGAATTGCTACAGCATGGCAAAAAACCCCAGTGAAAATACCCAGTGGGACAGCCAAAATAATGAACCTTCTGTATTTAAACAGTAGTGCTCTCTATGCATAAACCAGGTATCTGTGATATCCAATACATGATAAAATCAGGAACAGCATATCCAAATGGCATGCTGGCTAAAATATGAAGCTTCACATGGTTAACACACTATCTTAGAGAAAAGAGGCTGCTGCCCCAAATCTTATTGCAAGATTAGGGCCTTATTGTTTGGTTACTTTCTCCTATAAGCTACTCTTCTAGTTTGGGGAAAGGCAAGCATAGCTGAGCTACTAAATTATCTCTTGAAATAAGTTGGTCGGGGGGGGGGGGGGGGGGGGGG